TTGAAAAGCAACGACTTCGGGGCGTTGCCGATAATTGCCATTCGTTGGTTATACAAAGTAAGCATCGCAGTTTAAACATACCAGTAATACCAAGATCGCGCGGGCTATCAGTGTGAGTATCCTACGTTAGAGAACTTCATTTACCACTCTCTCTAAAATTCGTTCATTTGTTTTGACGGTCCATTGGCGTCTGGCGCGTACAAGGAAGCCAAACAGCTATCAGCTTTTCAGATGAGGTAAATACTGAGTTCAGAACATTTCCAAATGTCTCCTTCTTTCATAGAATGCGAATATTAAGGAAGTTTTGATTTTTAATTCTCAACAGTTGCTATCAACAAATACATTCAAACCTAACCATTGTATATCCAAAATAGTCATGCGCAAAAAACATCTGCTGCGTCCCACCGTTTTTTTTTTTTTTGCAGAGTTGAAACTTGAGAAGCAATGGCAATGCATTGATATGTTGCCTTTAAAGGAAATGAATAACTGGATATCGGTTAGTTTCGAGCAACCTGATACCACTGCTGAGCTGTGCTGTCGTAAATTTGCACTAAAGTAAGTCCCTCCTAAATTTGTCAAAAATATCAAGATCATTCGGGCAATTAATGTGCTAAAAAAATTTTCAAATGCAACTCACGCTAAAGCTCACGCTTCACATTCTGTTTTTTTTTAACACACATTCTATTGTATCCTATTTTATTGATATAATTTGGTTAATCGTAGCTATATCAGGTCTTTCAATCCTAAGTTTTAAAATGTGTCAAGGAGTGGTTAGCTGCAGGTAGGTTCTAGTTTCAGTATGATTTCTGGATGTGCTGGTGATGAAGAACGGGAGCAGGAAGAGACTGTTTGCTGTAGTAATTATATTCGTTCGGCCTTCCTTTTGCCGTTTAATCGGTTCAGCAGTCCAGTGAACACAAGCGATTATCCTAGAGCAATGTATGGGATTAGCTGTAAAAAGAAGCCTGTGCTAGGTTTTATTTACGGTGCCGATTAGTGCCGCACGAATTACTAGGATTTTAAGGCTACAGAGAAAGTGGTCACTCATAAATGGCCCCTATCCTCCCACATTCATTGTCTTCAAGAAGTTCAGAGCAAATTTTGTTAAAATACCACTCCCGTGCACTTGTACCAAGCAAGAATTTCATTTAAATAACTTTTATAATTCTGCTTAAACTTGACAAGTTAGTATTCGATCAATGTTAGCAGCTAACATTAAACGAATACTAATGAATTATGATGAAATGCAGCTTAGCATTCGGTGTGTATAAATTTAGTAAATTTTACATCATTAAAAGCTTTATACATTATACAGTACTGATACATTGCCGAATATATATGTGCAAGTAAATTTAAATATTGTTACATAAATAATCGACGAATGAAGAGGGAGAGGAGCAAATCTCGCAT